TTAGATATGTCCACATGTACATTGTTAGATTGCTAATGATAACACGCTCACGTTTACCAAGTATTGGGTATCCTGAATAAATCCTGGTTTGAAACCGATACTTTGCCACAGTGTATTTAGGCTGCATGTTTAAGCTCTGTTGATAGACGAGTGAGCAGTAACTGAGTTACCATCTCATGTAGAAACACAAGAAAATAAAATTGCATTAAGAACTCTGTCGTGAAGACAGGAAATCCATAGTCCTGGCTTCTGGCAGTTCTTGGACTGCCCGGATAGAGATTTTTAGGCACACCTTGGGATATGTTTCTTGGAATCACTGGGGTTAAATTGTTATCTCAGTGTAATTTTAATTTATCTTTCATCTCACAAGTACTTTTTCTTCTTTTTTGGAAGCAGAAAATGAATACTTGTTTGTGAGTTCTTTTTTGGGATTCAAGTGTGTCGTTGGTATCTCTTTTTTCCATAGATTGGAAGTTCCACAAACACCCTGAGTGCCCTGAAAACTGCTTTTGCTGATAAAGAAACACAGGCCATCTACCTTCTGACTGATGGGAGACCTGATCAGGTACTTGTCATGCGCGTCCGTGTGAAGAGACCACCAAACAGGCTTTGTGTGAGCAATAAAGCTTTTTAGTCACCTGGGAGCAGGCGGCTGAGTCGGAAAAGAGAGTCAGTGAAGGGAGATGGGGGTGGGGCCGTTTTATAGGATTTGGGTAGGTAAAGGAAAATTACGTCAAAGGGGGATTCTCTGGCGGGCAGGAGTGGGGGTCACAACGTGCTCAGTAGGGGAGCTTTTTGAGCCAGGATGAGCCAGGAAAAGGAATTTCACAAGATAATGTCATCACTTAAGGCAAGGACCGGCCATTTTCACTTCTTTTGTGGTGCAATGTCATCAGCTAAGGCGGGGCAGGGCAACTGTGATTCTTCAGTTACTCTAGGCCATCTGGGCATATGTACGTGCAAGTCACAGGGGATGCGATGGCTTGGCTTGGGCTCAGAGGCCTGACAGTACCTATCAGAGCTGGGAACAAAGAGGGCCTCACTGATGCTCTGAAAGCAAATGCTGAAAATAGGTTTGGGGAACCTTTTCAGCGGCCACCAAAAACCCATGGAGATATCCTTCCTTGGCTGAGGGACTCAGAGCTGAGGTGAGAAAATACACAGGGAGATTCCTTTGTCTCTGGAAACTCGGAGGAGAATTTATGAGACAGCGAATGTTGCCTGGTGAGTGTGACACACACCCCTAGCCGGGAGACCAGCCCCACAAAAGGAGACGTCTGCCGTCCACTGAAGGCTGGTTTACATTTTATTACAAATGAAGAGCGAGGAGATTGTTTTCTATTTTTTTTTCCTCTGGAGACGCTGAATCTAAACATGTCACTGCATAATGTCCTTGGCTTTACCTCTAATGCTAACTTAGTACTCATTTAAACAAAAACATGCCTTTCCAGCGAAATGTCCTTTGTTTTGTTTAGCCTCGCTGGAAAATATTTGAAAAGCTGTAGAGGAGTTCGTTCATCTTCTTTTGAGCTTTGTGAATGAAAGACGAGTACTCCAGGCATTAAATCAATAGAAGGATTTTCAGGCCAGTGTAACGTCAATTAGCAGCTAAAGTGAATTAGTGTCAACTCGTGTTTTTCCTTGGGAGATGTTTGCATGTGCAGACTGCTAGGCAAATATCCTAAAATATCCTGTGGCAAAAAG